TCCCGAAGTTTATCCCAATCTCTCTTCTCTCTCTCTCTCTCTCAATCACTCTGTATCTGTTCCCCACAAAACACACATTCGCTACGGTTGAAAACATATTTTCTCTCAGTCTCACTCTCTCTCACTTTTTCAGCCTCTATCCCTCAATTTCTCTCTCTCTCTCTCAATCTCTTTCTCAGTCTCTCTATATGTGTCTAACAGTGTCTCTTTCTGTCTCTCTCTGTCAATCAATAACTTTCATTCACTATCACTGTCTCTCTCTATCTCTATCTGTCGCTCTTTCTCTTTCAGTCACTATCTCTTCGTCTCTCCCACAAAATAGACAGTCACTACATATTATATTTAATCTACCCTATTTTCTCTCACTCTGTCTGTCTTTCTCTCAGTCTGTCACTCTGTCTCAGTCTCCCTCGTTGTCTCTTTCAGTCTCTTCTTGATTCTCTTTCTCTCCCTCTTTCTCTCTCTAACTCAGTCTCTCTCTCTCATTATACTTCTTCTCCCCTAGTCTCCCTCTCACACTCTCTCTGTCTATTGATCACTCTGTCTTTCTCTCACCCAGTCTCTCTTCTCTCTCAGTCTCCCTATCTGTCTATGTATCTCTCTGTCCGTCTCTCTCTCTCTCTCTCTCTCTCTCTCTCATTCCCCCTGTATCTCTCAGTCTCTCTAACGGTCTCTCACAAATATTTATTTGAAGGGAATATTAACCATGGAAATGTGATCTGCAATTAACAACCGGGTTATGACTGACGGCGAAGCAAACAGACACGAGTGGAGTAAGGAGACATCCGTAAGGTTTTGCTCTGCCAGGAATCACCCCCAGGCCCTCTCGCTAGCGAGGCGAGGGCTGTAACCACTGAGCTACAGGGCAGAGACTGCAGTGTGTGAGCAGACACAGGCTAACTCAGGGCTGAAGCTGCGCAGACTTTATTCTGGGTGAGGGTTTTGCACAGGCGTTTTCACTGTAAAATACCAACAAAAAACTATCTCAGGATATGATTTTTCCATCAAATATATTTGCGTCCGGGGGCTAAGGCCAGTTGGGAATACACATGGAATCATTGACCTCAGTTAAATGTCTCAGGATTAGGGAGGAAGCACCAACATCATACATGACTGTGCTGGACAGTTTGCAGGAGTCTCACACACACAAACGCTCATGCACACATACACACACACATACCCAGAGACACGAATGTGCACAAATAGGCAAAAACAAACATGCACAGATACACATACATATGCACACAAACAAACTCTTATGCAAATATAGTCACAGGTACACACGGACAAACATAAACCCATAACACAGACACACAATCACACACATAGATACACACACAAACACAAACACTCACAAACAACGCACATACGGGCAGACCCACACACAGTAACACACAAAAGCATATAACAACAGAACACAAAGAGAAACGCATACAATCGTAAACATACACACCCACAGAAACACACGCACACGGAAACATACACAGACACACCCAGAAAACACACACTGACATACGCGCAAACACACACAAACACATACAGACACACACACGCACGCGGATAAACACAGACAAACAAACACATATTATTCAATGCTGCTCTGAGCTCCCAGTGAGACTGCTTTTAGATTCACCCACAATTTATCTTAAAAGTCTCCCAGTAAATCAGAAGCTTTCCATTCCATACACACAAATTTCCAGTCAGATGTGAAACTGTCAGGAGGTTGGTTTGGAGTGCAACCTGTCACACACAAACCTGTCATCAGGCTTAACCCTAAGCCTGATGACAGGTTTATGTGTGTGTCAGACACTCGGCTGACAATAGTAGAGTACTGCAACCCACAGTGTGTGGAGCGGTCGGGCGAGGCTGCGATTGATAGAGAGACACACACACAGACAGACACACACACACACACAGACACACACACGTTAATACATGTTGAGAGTTTGATGTAAAATATGTCTTGTGGCCTCACACTGTCACACCGATTCCTGTCACAATATTCAGCCGCACTGATCAGAGAGTCACAATAAACACATTGAGATATTGGAGTCATTCAGACTCTGGAGACACAGTGTGTTACTTACTCCAGTCTCTGTATTTTACACTCCGGGTTCCTCAGAGCCTCACACAGTCGCTTCACTCCACAATCTCCCAGATTATTATCATTCAGGATCAGCTCCGTCAGTGTGTGGTTTATTCTGAGATCGGAGGACAGGTTATCGGTCCTATCAGTTGTCAGATCGATGTCGCTCAGCCTAACAATCACAGACAAGGAAACATAACAGGGATCAGAGTAAACACAGTGCGTATTATTATTTATTACACAGCCTGGAGATGAGAGACACGGAGCCATAAAAGGGATTAAAGTGAATACAACGCTGACTACCATAAGAGACTGTGGATGGGATGGATTGTGTGGGACAGGAGGAAGGGGCCGGGGCTGACATTTTTCCACCTTCACGTTAAAATATCGCTGTACGTGGAACAGACACTTACATTCAGGATTGCAGGATTGGGTGTAGTTTGGTGCAATTGGAGTTTCGGTGACCACACAGTGTGTGCTGGGCGTGGGTGGGGGTTGGAGTGTAGGAACCTTCAGTCTGATTCACTGTGACTCTTAATTTTGATCGATATATAGTGATTTGTTGCCAACAACTAAAAACAAAATATTGCGTTGAGAAAGCTGCTTGTGTTGTAATAGCCGTTGTCAATGTGAATGGGCAAAACATTCCCTGTCATTTTGTGTTGACGTCAGTCAAATAGTTAATATGCCCTGGGGGTGCGCAATTAATACCTGGCTTCACAAGCGAGAGACCTGAGTTCAAATCCCAGCACGGAGAAACCTTGGGCAATTTTCCTTACTACACATGCCTGAAAAAAATCCCTAAAAAAACCCAATAACAATTTGTTCACTACAATCCACGACAGTTTGTAGGTCATTGCTGTGCACAATTGGCTGCCGCGTTTCACCCACAAAAATGCAGTCAATTGGCTTTACAGTATTTTCTGTGAAGCGCTTTGAGACGACTAGAAGACGTGTAAAGCACTATAGCAAATTCAATTAATATTATTATAATTATAGGTGCTGCTGCAGATTAATCAGCTAAAGCTGTGTAAGGTCCCCCGTGAGAGGGAAATATCACTCTATGTTCTGGATAGGACACCCACCAAACTGTAAATACTGTGTCTCACAGAGTCAGCAGTAAGTGAGTGGGAAGAGTATCTGCACCAATTGACTTGTCCTCAAAACCCTACCGCTGATTCAGTCCTCGTAGCTTTCCGGAACTTTTAGAATTAATATTGTCCACAGCTGCTCAGGATATAATAATCTGTGTTCAGAGCCAATTACTGACACCAAGTCCACAGTGTGTTACTTACCATAGACTCGGTATTTTACACTCCAGTTTCCTCAGATCCTCACACAGTTGCTTCACTCCACAATCTCCCAGATTATGGTCCTGCAGCCTGGACACGGAGACACAAACACATTGACATGTATATACAGGAGCCTTTCACGTGGGGAGCAAGTCGCAAGGCGCTGGAACCAGGGTCAGGAACACCCGCACATGCCCACACACAGACAGACACACACACAGGCGTCCTTCTTAAGTTGTGGTAGATCGAATAAACATTTAACATTTATATTAATTTCTTGCAGAGTGATGTCTCAGAGCTTTACAAGGACGGGGTTGGAAGGTTCGTATGTCCCCCAGTCTCTGCGGCAACAAAATCAAATCGCAAGTTTAGGGACTTTCCTGTCAGGAAGACGTACCAAGGCAATGAGGGCTTGTACCTGATCTGGGGGTTGGGATTAGAGATGAGTGGAGTGCAAGAGATTGGGGTAGGAGGATAACCGAAGGCAGTGTCAAAGGGGAAGGTGTTGAGATGGGCATTGAAGGAGGCAAAAGAGGAGGAGAGATAGCGGTTCTCCAGGATTGAGTTCCACAGGGTAGTGATGGAAAGACTGAATGCAGAAGAGTTGATGGTGGAGCGGGCAGGGCAAGGACGTGTAGCAGCCCAGTACACACCGAGTGGATGGAGCGAGCAGGATGGTAAAGTTGGTAAACACCACTTCCTCCCATGCACACACCCCAGTGTCCCTGGGTTGGCTCCTACCCCCTCTCGGCTTCTCTCCTATTCTCGTTCCACCAGCTCAGGCACCACAGCACTCACTCCCCGCACTCACAGGCAAGTCTTCTCCAGCCTACGTCACTAGGCCACAGGCTTCCTGTGTCCTGATCTCATGGCAGCAGGTCCTCCCCGAGTACCCAGACTGAGCTCTCCCTCACAGCCCAACTGAAAGCCCCCCTCATAGCTGCCTCTGCCCTGAAAGTCCTCAGGGCGCAGTATACACGCCTTCCCCACGGCGGAAATCCAGAGCCCAGTATAACAGTGTAAGTGGCCTGGGTATGAGGACAGGGCAGTGAGACCAGCTGATGCCATGGGTGGCTGTTTAGGCCGTGAGGAGCCGCAACACAGTCTGTCAGCATCACAGGCCGAGAGAGTGAGTGTGCATGTAACATGATCAATCAGCGAGTGGCTGGAGGGAGTCTACTCCTCTGAATGATGGACACCAGATCCTCCGTGTTGGCAGTGCTGTGGGTTGACAAGGGAGAGTGTGTGGGTGGGTATCAAGCATGAGATTATCTGTCCCCCGGGCCTCTCACTCTGGGGCTACAGTCAGTAGGGCCTGAGGCCTGGCCACATGGTGAGGGCAGGGCTCCTGTGTGGATATCCTTTCAGTGTCTCTAGATCTGGGCTATGTCTGTGAGCACTGAGTACTGTGGTGAACAGAAGGGATCTTTATGTGAGAGTGAGGTGGTGAGAGAAGATACCAACTCTGACTATGACCTGTCAGAGGCCACGTTGTCTGTGTTTATGGCCACTCTAGGACATCGATGTGATTTTTTCCCACGTAATTAAATTCCACAGTGTGTTACTCACTCCAGAACTTGTTTTTTGAACTTCGGGTTCGTCAGAGCCTCACTCAGTCGTTTCAGTCCACCATCTCCCACATTATTTTCTTCCTGCCTGCGCACAGAGACACAAACACAGTGAATATAGTGCAGCAGTACAATACACATTGACATCTATATACAGTAGGTTTCCACGTGGCAAGGAAGTCCCAAGGTGCCGGGTCCAAATGTTGTGATCAGAGAAGCTGGAATTCTAGCCGCTAATGGTAGGGCAGATCGGGCTGGAGATAGGTAGGAGGTGGCAGAATGGAGGGAATGGATAGGTTGATACGTGCTTTGCTGGACAGAGAGGTAAGAGGGAGTAAGGCCGTGGAAGGCTTTGAAATTGAGAACAATTATCTTGAATTCGAACCATCTGAGTGGTGTGGATCCAGTGGAGCCGAGCGAGGCTGTAGGAGATGGTATCACGGAGCCGAGTGAAGGAGGATAAGAGCTGCAGAGTTCTGGATAACTGCAACTTTTGGAGGTAAGAGTTTGGGAGGCAAAGAAACATGGCTTTGGCATATTCGAGTCTGGATGTAATGAAGAGGTAAGACAGTGATGGAGTCATGTAATGTTGCCGAGGTGGGGGAAGACAGAGCGGATCATGGCATGGTGGTGGGGGATAAAGGACAGTTGAGGATCGAACAAGGGACCTAGGTTCCTGACTGGCTTGGTGAGGTGGTATATGAATCCATTGATACTGATGCTGCCAGGGCCTGAGTTGGGAGGTGTTGGCGTGAGCTTCAGTCTTGCTGGTATTCACCTGCAGAAAGTTGGCACTTATTCAGGACTTGATATTTGACAAACATTCTGTCAGGCCAGCAGTGGTCATATGGTTCATGTTGGAGGCAGAGAGAGATGAATCTGAGGGTCATGTGTGCACATATGGAAGATGTCTGAGGATGATGTCACCAAGAGATGGCATTTACAGGTTAAAGAAGAGAGGACCGAGGACAGAGCCTTGAGGTTCAGGACAAGAGACGGCGAGGAGAAGAGATTTGCGGAGACAAAATGGAACTGGGTGTAAGAGATATGATGTGAACCAATCAAGGAAACAACTTTGAAGGCGAAGTATTGGAGGAGGATAGAGATAGAGGATAGAGTATCAAAGGGAGCAGAGATCCAGGAGGGGGAGAAGACAGAGGGAGCTCTGATCACAGATGGACAGAGTGTCATTTGTCACATTGTTGAAGGCTGTTTCGTGCTGTGGGCAGGAAACCCGATTGAGGGGTTCATGACGGGAGAGACATATGTGGACGTAGTGAAGCTGAGAAGTTATAACGCTTTCAAGGACCTTAAAGGAAAGGAAGGTTGGAGATGGGTGGCAGTTAGTGAGCAGGGATGGGTCCATGAAAGTTTTTATTAGGAGAGAGGTTGATGACAGCTGTTTTTCATTATAAAGTGAAACCGCACATTGTGTTTGTTTGTGTATTAAATTCTGGGATATTTGGTAAAGATCATTTCATACCTTTTCTTCCGAGCAGCTTCCTCCTGATGAAATCAAACAGACAGAAGTGAGCTCACACTGAGACACCAAGAATAACAACAAAAGTTTACATGTGTACAGCACCTTTCACGTCAGGAGGAATTCCCAAGGCATTGGGCATGAAAGACGCTGTACACATGTAATTTTTAAGACACCTCATAGTAAACTCAGACACACAGAACAGAATTTTACAGCACATAGTTGACTGTCATTATTACAGCAAAGTTATTCACTCAAAGTGATTTCCAAAGGTAAGAGGATTCAGATACACAGCCACCATAAAGTGTTAATTGTGTAAGTTTATAGCTAGAGACATAAAGTCAGACCTGCTGACACACTACGATATACTAAATTAGCAATTCAATCTCTTATCTCTTTATCAATCAGTATTAGATGTTTTGCTCCAGACTGTGTGCAACTGATATGGAGCTCAATTATAATGTAATCTCTTCACCTGCAAAAACATCGGCCCGTCTTTTTCCATCTGTGTCTGTAACTCTGAGATTTCTTGTTGAACTGAATCTAAATTGCTCTGAATCTCTCGCAGGTTTGTCTCCATCCGTTGTAAAATCTCCTCCTCTCGCTGTCTGAGATCTATCATCACCCGCTGCTCTCTGTCAGTCAGGATCTGGTGTATTTTAGCAAAATCGTCTTTGACTTGGGTCTGCAGACTGCTCGCCTGTTCCTGCAAAATGTCAGACATCACACCGTGTATACACAGTAAAGAGAGACATCGCACCATTTACACACAGTAAAGAGAGATACACTGAGACCCCACACCCTTTATACACCATAAATAGAGACAATCTGATTGTCCAGATATCAGCCCAATAAAACTTACCTTAAGTTGTGAAATATTTTGTTTCTGTTTGGCTTCACCTTGTAGAGCAGTTTCCTTCCTCTGTGTGAGAGAAGCTAAGGAGGATTTCACTTGTTCCTGGAGTAAACACACAGAACAAAAGTGTTTGTACTTGGAATCATCAAGTGGAATAGATTTACTCCCTCGTGAGGTTTACTGTTACCTTGTAGATTTCAACAACTTCCTCAATGGGTAGGAAGCTGTGACCTCTGTGTTCTCGCGCATCTCTGCAAACTAAACACAACAATTTCTTGTCAGATTCACAGAACAGCTTCAATTCCTCCCGGTGTTTCTCACAGTGAAGTTTAATTTCCGTCTGTCTCGGGGTCAGGCTGAATTTCCGAGCTCTCTCTGCTAGACTCGCCAGGGCCCGATTAACGCTGAGGTTCTTTTCTGGAAATGTCTCCTGACAAACAGCACAGCGGTTTGTCTCCTGCTTTTCCCAGCTCAGGGTGATACAGGAGCGACAGAAGTTGTGGCCACAGTCCAGGCTAACAGGATCAGTGAAGAAATCCAGACAAATCGGGCAAATGATCTCCTCGGTCCAGCACTCAGTCTGGAGCCCAGAAGCCATTTTCACCCTCAGCACTTCCTGATTCAAACTGGTTTCAGTTTCAGTGTGAGTGTGTGGGCGGCTCCCAGTCACTGGGCTGTTAAGTCTCCTTTAGTCTCTTCTTGTGAAATCAGCTGATTGTGACTGTGATACCAGGAGACCACGAGAAAGACTTGTACATTCATCATCACCCTCACAGGAGTCACTAATCTCTCTGCATTTCACGATGGTCATGACTGTTGGAGCCAGTGATATTCCTGGGCCGGGAAACGGGAAGAATAACAACAAGCCGTGTATTTGATACAGAACCTGTAACGGAGCTCAAAACTCTGCTTTTCTGCACAGTGACTGTCGGGATTTGGTGAATGTGTAGCCAATCTCCACACAACCAGCAAACAATCATAGGGACCGGCCAATGTTATCTGGGGATTGTTTTGTCAGCCGGGAAATCAGGGAGAGAAATATCCGTCTCTTTCTCAAATTGTGCTGCGAGATCTTTAACGTCCAGCAGAACAGACAGAAATGGAGCTTGGTTTGTTGTGGAGTCTTGAAGTGTGTTGATTACTCACACCCGTCTTCAAATCACTTCACTTCCTACCACCGCCCTAACCTACCTCTCCGACCTCCTCAGTCCCCAATCTACCACCCGGGCAATGCCTCCGCTCAACCGGCTCCGGCCTCCTGCTCATCCCTTGTGCCTTTTCAGCCACTATGCCCTGAAACTCTGGAACTCTCTCCCTCAATCCGTCCGTCTGGCCCCTTCCCGATGTTTCCCGAGAAGTCAGCCAGAACATCTATGTTAGTTAATTGGCGGTTTGGTGATTTGGTGGGGAAATTTTCCGTGAAAATAATAATAATAATGATGATGACGAGGAGTTCATTAATAACTGGTGAATTTAATGGATGAGGAACAGAGCCGGGAGAGAGAGACTGCTTGATCGTGTTGGTCAGTAGAGGGGTGAGGAGGGGTTGTTGAGTGACCAACAGCTGGGAGATGACATTTGAGAGGGAAGGGCAGAAATAAGGGTAATGGAGAACAGGGCAGTGTTAGAGTTCCAGAGCCTCGGGGCTGAGAGGCTGAAGGCCCGACCACCAATGGTAGGGCGATTGGGGCGGGGGATGTGGAGCAGACCGGAACCAGAGGAGCCACTGTTTGTCTTTCTCTCTTTCTGTCTGTCTGTGTGTCCTATCTGTCTGCGTGTCTCTCTGTTAGTGACTGGATTTGAGGAAGGGAGGACAGCTGGGGTTCGAACCGGATGCCTAAGTTGCGCATTGGTTTGTCGTGTCTCAGGGAGGGCCGAGTGTGGTTGAAGGCTTCAGATCCACAGAAGTGAAAACATAGATGGGAGCCACAGAGTATGGATTCTGGATTGACTACATTAAGCTGCGAGGAGTTTACACTCATCCAAGTTCTGATATGTGCCATCTCAAGACCCTATTCTTCAACATTGCTTTTGATCCAACCTCCACCATCCCAACCCTCAGCTCGGGTCCGAAACACTGATTATCCAGTACCCTGTGGCATCCTCTGAACGTGAAAGGCAACTTACAAGTGTAATTTTCTTGTTGTTGTTGTAAAGGCTAACCTTTAGATATTCAGGTTTTTACTGGTTTCTTTCTTCCTCAAAAGCTGACCACAAGCGAGATCGTCATGAACTGTTTCCACAAGATATTTCTTCTTCGCATTTATGCTGATGGGAAAACTAGAAGCCACAACAAACCCGCGATTCAGTGCCATACCAGCGCTTGGCTTTCAATGTGCATGTGTTGACAGGCCATCATGCATTGAGTCGGAGGAAATGTGCTCTTAACCCATCACTGTTTGGGCACTTAACGGCTGTATTAAATTATACGTTCGCAGTGTAGATTATTTAGACAATCTGATTTTCCACAACTTGTACAGTTTTCCTGCAACTCGCACTTTTCCTCGAGTCCTACAGCTCAGTGGTTAGAGCGAGCGCCTCGTAAGCTTGACCACATGGATTCGATTCCCGGGCTGGTGAGGGCGATACCATAGGCAAATTTCCTTACCTGACAAGCATGGCTCTGTTTACCTGGCAATAAATCGGAAGGCATTAGTTAGTCAATTGTTGGATCACTTTCCGGGGTTATTTTTCCTCCCCTCTAAATATATTCTGATAATAATTTACTCAATCAATCCACGGATGTTTGTGGGTCGTCGATTTGTATCGTTGGCTGCCGCGTTTCGCCCACAAATACTGTCAATTTACTTACCGGTATATTCTGTGAAACAGTTTGAGATGTTACGAAGATGTGATGAGGCACAATATCAAATATAAGGATTAATATTATATATTCCATCAGTCATATTAAATGTTATGCTCCCTCAGGTGTTGACATTGGCTCCTCACTGTCTGTGTGTGTGACTGGGGTTGGGGGTGACTGGGGGGTGGGGGGTGACTGGGGGGGTGTTGGGGGTGACTGGGGGGTGGGGGGTGACTGGGCGGGTGGGGGTGACTGGCGGGCGGGGGGTGACATGGCCGCACTGTTGTCTGTCTCTCTCTCTGTGTCTCTCGTCGACTGATGAACAGCAGCGCCTGACTTTGGCGCCTCTTTTTTTTCTCTGACTCGGCGCCTGCGCAGTGGTGTCCCTGAGCGCGAGGCCAACGGTATTTTTTTGAACTCGGCGCCTGCGCAGTGCCGTCTCCGGGCGCGGGGCTGACGGTGTTTCGGGGCGCGGCGCCTGTCTGTCTGAGCGCGAGGCGGGACCGCGGGAGGTGGTGATGGCGGCGGAGACGACGGTCAGTGTCGGTGACAGAGAGAGAGAGAGAGACATAGACACAAAAACACACACTCTTACTCTCTCTCACACACACTGAGCCTGACACACACACACACACACAAACAGACATACACACACAGACACACTAAGACACACACACACAGACTGACACACACACACAGAGACAGTCTATCACACAAATACAGACACACACACAGACTGACACACACTCTCACTGTCAGTCTCTCACCCTCTCTCCCACATTCGCTCTCACTCGCTCTCACACACATTGAACCCACAGACACACACACACACACAAACAAACCCAGACACCGAGCCAGGCCAACACTGTGTGTGTTTGTGTGATAGCCCGACTCGGTGTCTGTATGAGTGAGAGAGGAGAGAGAGAGGGTGTGAGAGAGAGGGTGAGAGAGACTGACAGAGAGTGAGAGTGTGTCTGTCTGTCTGTGTGTGTGTGTGTATTTGTGTGATAGCCTGTCTCGGTGTGTCTGTGTGTGTGTATGTCAGTGTTTGTGTGTGTGTCTGTACATGTCAGTGTGTGTGTGTCTGTGTATGTCAGTGTGTGTGTGTGTCTGTGTATGTCAAAGTGTGTCGGTGTCTGTGTATGTGTGTGTGTCTGTGTGTGTGTTAGCCTGGCTCGGTGTCTGTGTATGTGTGTGTCTCTATACGTCAGCCTCGTTCAATGTGTGTGAGAGGAGAGAGTGTGAGCGAGAGTGACAGAGACTGACAGAGTGAGAGTGTGTGTCTGTGTCTCTGTCTGTGTCTCTGGCTGTGTGTGTGTGTTTGTGTCGGTGTCTGTGTGTGTGTGAGTCTGTGTCTGTGTCTGTGTTTATGTGTGTGTACTCGGTTCCAAACACAAGGATTGTTACTGCTATCACTCAAATGACGAGTGACTGCACTCACTACGACACCACAGGACTCCACAGATTAAACCGCTCCGCACAGATCACATCCCCGCAAACCGCGAGAAAAATAATACCCCGAATTAGAAATGAATGAATAAATGTGGAAGAATGTTGTTGGAGCTTCAGTCCCTCTCTCCCCTCGGCCTGGAATGAAGGTCCCGTCTGATCCCACAGTGTACAACAGGCAAATGAGACGGGAATATCATCCGCCCCGAAACCGCGCAATGTTCCTCAATAAATCATCACAGAAGTCATATCAGTTCGGACCATAAAACTTAATAATATTATACACAGTAACACACACTTCCGCTCTCTCTCTCACTCTCTCTCTCTATCTCTCACACACTGTCTCTCACATTCTCTCTCTCCCACATTCTCTCTCTCTCACTCTCACACAGTCTCTCACACTCACTTTCTCACAGTCTCTCACTATCTCACAGTCTCTCTCACACTCACACTCTCTCACACAGTCTCTCACTCTCACACTCTCACACAGTCTCTCTCTCTCACACTCTCACTTTCTCAGAGTCTCTTACTATCTCACAGTCTCTCTCTCACACACTCTCACTCTCTCACACAGTCTCTCAATCTCTCACACACTCAC